TGGGACCGACTGAAGAGCCTAAATCTGTATTCTCTTGAGCACAGGTGGGAGAGAGAAATAATAATTTACACATGGAAAATAGTAGAGGGGCTGGTCCCAAACCTGCACACAGAAATAACATCACACAAGACCAGAAAACATGGCAGGATGTGCAGAATACCCCCGTTGAAGAGCACAGGTGCAACAGGTACTCAGAGAGAACTATCAACACCAGAGGCCCAAGACTGTTCAACATGCTTCCATTACACATAAGGGGCACAATTGGCCGACCCCTCACAGTGTTCAAGAGAGAACCGGATAACACCTCCAAAGGATACCTGATCAACCAGGCTGTGACTCATACTACAGGCTACAAGCAGCTGCATTCAACAGCCTGGTTGACCAGTCTAGCAACAAGGAGGCCTAGTTGAGGACCGGCCCGTGGGGACGCTAAGCCCACAAAATCATCTCAAGGTGACGTCAAGGCAACCCACACTCTCACCTGATCCACACTAACTACCTCACTCAACCAAGTCACTCAGTCTTAATTACAACAACATTCCTGCTCCACTAACACTATCCTAATACTTTGATGGCATAAATGCAGAAAAATATATTCAACAAAAGCAACAAAAGCCAGAAGTAACAGGAACTAAATGCTACCAGGAGCCAGATGGCACCAGGAACCAACTGACATTAGGAACCAATCTCAAGTCGACTGTCGACTTGAGAATGGTCCAGGACGGACCGAAACGTCGTCGTCGTCCCTTCACCTTCTAGTGTGTGGTCTGGTCAATATAATTTAGCCACGTTATTGTGACTCATCGCCTGCATTAGGAACCAAATACTGTAGCATTATGAATAACATGACACCAAAAAAACAAACGGCGATTCGAGCCAGATCTTTTCTTGACATGTCAAGATAAGATACATAGATATAGAAAGAGATGGAGACTACAGCAATAAGTGCTGGGTTGACAAGTGCTCCCAGATGTCGTCCTCCCAGACGTCGCAGTGAGAGGGTGTGTTAGTCGGAGCTCCTGAGTGTAGTTATATTATCATAACAATATGGAAGTTGTGGTGAAGGAACTGATGAGTCTGGTTGGGGCTCTGAGAACAGAGTTGGACTCTCTACGGGAGGAGGTACAACAGCTGAAACAACAACAACAAGGAACGAAGGAGGAGACCAGTAGTAAAAAGACCTCGTCTTGGAAAGTTGTAAAGGACAGGGGCCTTAAGAAGAATTTGATAAAGCTGCCTACAGACGCTCTAAGAACGTCTAATTCATTTGCCGTATTGGAGGACGAGTACTGTGGTGAGACTGTGGATCACGCAAAAGGGGAAGCAACGAAGAGCAACGAAGTGCAGGCCCCTCAGAGAGCAAAGGAAGTACCTAAGCAAACTTTAGTTGTGGGAGATTCCCAGATAAGGTATTTGGATGGAATGTTTTGTGCTAGAGATAGGGGGAACAAGTTAAGGGTTTGCTATCCCGGAGCTGGTATTGGTGATATTATAAACAACATGAATGATATTATGGCTGGAAATGGGAACAATCCCGTTATTTGCATTAGCGCGGGAGGAAATGATGTTGGTCGAGTTAGGAGTGAGGAACTGATTCAGAGATATAAAACAGCAATTGAATTAATCAGAAGCAAGGGAGGAATCCCGATCACATGTGGCATTCTTCCAAGAAAGGGAGTGGGAAATGAATGGATGTCGAGGGCACTTTGTGTCAATTGCCGGCTGGAAAGATATTGCAAATCAAATGCAATATCTTTCATAGAAAACTGGGAACACTTCTATGGAAGAAATGAACTGTATGCTCGTGATGGGGTGCATCTATCGAGGGCTGGGGGAGGGATGTTGCAAACTCGTTGGAACCAGTGGTTAGAGGCTTTTGTTTGGGTTTAAACTGTTAGTAGATAGTGGTATGGGAATCGATTTGGAGGAAGGAGGTAATAAAAGTATGTTTTTGTGGGAGAAAAGAATTGGCAAAATGATCAGGAAAAGAGAAGAGCCTCAAAATAACAATTCACTTAGGGTATATTACACTAACACTAGAAGTCTAAGAAATAAAATAAACGATTTAAATGCTCTTGTCTGCACAGAAAAAATAGATATTATTGCACTTACCAAAACGTGGATGAATGTAGAAGATAGAGAGCTATTAGCTGAATTTCAAATAAATGGATTTAAACTATTTCACACAGATAGATATATTAGACAACAAGGGGGAGTAGCCATATATGTTAGGGGCAATTTGAAATGTAGTCTCAGAGAGGGAATCAAAACTGAGCCACACACAGAAACTATTTGGATAGAATTAAACGAAAAAGCAAATAATATTATAATAGGCGATATATATAGGCCACCAAATTTAAACAGAATGGAAGCAAAGCATCTATGGGATGAAATATCTAGAGCATCTAGATCGAACAGTATTTATGTCATGGGTGACTTTAATTTTAGTGGAATAAACTGGTTGAACAAAACAGGGAATAATGAAGCAGATTTTCTAGAATTAATTGACGATTGCTTTCTTACACAACACATTAAGGACATCAAAATAGGGAGTGAGCTAGGGAACATAAAGAAATCAGATTTAGCATTCAATGGAATAGATCTGTAGGAGAAAATTCTGTTAAAGTGCCTGATTTTCAAAAAGCTGATTTCAATAACCTAAGAAATTTTTTGGGTCAAATAGATTGGAAAGTCTTGGGTATGGGTTGTGGGCCGGTATTGGAGCTAGACGTGAACCCAGCGATAGGTGACATAAAAGGGGTTTTCGATGTGGACTCAAAATATAACCTATTTAAAAATATTCTAACCAAAGCCCAGGAATGTAGTATACCATATAAATTGAATAGATCGAATACTAATGATCCAAAGTGGATAACAAAGGATCTGAAGAACCTTATAGGTAAAAAGAGAGTGTGGTACAAAAGGATTAAAAATGGGGAAGTCTGTTTAGAACAGGAATTCGTACAACTGGTTAGAAATACTAAAAAAAGAGATAAGGAAAGCAAAAAGAAACTATGAAGTTCGCATAGCAGAGCAAGCAAAAACAAATCCTAAAGGGTTTTTCCAATTATACCGAACAAAGATTAGGGAAAGGATAGGTCCATTAAAAACCGAGACAGGTCAAATAACAGATAGTGATGAAGAGATGAGTAGTATTTTTAATAAATATTTTATATCTGAATTTACTAAAGAGGAACTTAACAATATGCCTTCAGCCGAACAAGTCTATGTGGGTGGGGACGAGGACAGGTTGACTAGTTTAGCAGTTACCAGGATGTTCTTAAACACATAGTAAAACTCAAATCAAATAAAACCCCAGAGCCAGATGAAGTGTTTGCCAGGGTGCTTAAAGAATGCAAAGAGGAGCTTTGCGACCCACTGTCTACCATATTTAATAAATTAATACTGTAGTCAGGCAGATTGCCAGAGTTATGAAAAGTTGCTAATGTGATACCAGTTTTTAAGAAAGGAGATAGATCACTTGCGTCAAACTATCGACCAATTAGCCTAACGTCTATTGCGGGAAAGTTACTCGAATCTATAATTGCAAATAAAATTCGTCTTCATCTTGAAAAACAAATTAATAATCGAGTCGCAACATGGTTTTATAAATGGCCGTTCATGTTTAACAAATTTGTTATCTTTTTATTCTAGCATAGTTGAGGCAGTTGATAGTATTAAGGATTGTGATGTTGTGTATCTTGACTTTAGCAAAGCTTTTGATACAGTGCCACATGAAAGACTGATTAAAAAGATAGAGGCTCATGGTAATGGGGGTGCTATATTAAGCTGGATTAGGGCATGGCTATACCAAAGGAAACAGAGTTAGTATAAATGGAGTCAAGTCAGAGTGGGAAAATGTTGTAAGTGGAGTGCCTCAAGGCTCTGTCCTGGACCTCTGTTGTTTATAATATATATAAATGATTTAGATTCAGGTTTGAGTAGCAACATTTGCAAATTTGCCGATGATACGAAAATCGGTAGGGAAATTAATACGGAAGAAGGCTCACTATGTCTTCAAGTTGATCTAAATAGGGTTTTGAAATGGTCAAAGGATTGGCAGATGCAGTTTAATGCTAATAAATGTAAAGTTCTGAGGCTAGGTAATGAAGATAGAGTTACAAGATACGAGCTAGATGGTGTCGAGATTGCGAAGTCGGATTGCAAAAGGGATCTGGGAGTTATGATTAGTAAGAATTTAAAACAAAAGGATCAATGCATGAATGTTCGTAATAAGGCAAATAGGACACTGGGATTTAATAATCGAAGCATTAGTAACAAGACACCTGGCGTGGTTCTTCAACTATATCTTGCTCTGGTTAGGCCCCATTTAGATTATGCAGTTCAGTTTTGGTCGCCGTACTATAGAATGGATATAAATTCACTTGAACGTGTCCAGCGTAGGATGACCAAGTTAATTCCCCAAATTAGAAATCATTCATATGAAGAAAGATTAACAAAGCTTAAGTTGCATTCACTGGAAAGGCAAAGAGTTAGGGGTGACATGATAGAGGTTTACAAGTGGATGAATGGACATAACCGGGGGGATATTAATAGGGTATTAAAAGTATCAACAAGACACAACATGAAACAATGGGTATAAATTGGATAAGTTTAGATTTAGGAAAGACTTGGGTAAATACTGGTTCAGTAACAGGGTTGTTGATTTGTGGAACCAATTACCGCGTAACGTGCTGGAGGTGGGGTCCCTCGATTGTTTCAAGCGCGGGTTGGACAAGTATATGAGTGGGATTGGGTGGTTATAAATAGGAGCTGCCTCGTATGGGCCAACAGGCCTTCTGCAGTTGCCTCTGTTCTTATGTTCTTATGACAAATAGATATATGAGAGATATAGACACAGAGACAAAGACAGCAACATAGATACAGCGACAGAGACATAGATAAACATAGTGAGAGAGAAAGTGAGTGATAGGAGTGTTAGTGTCACAAGACCAGCCAGTCAAAAAAACGCACCAGCAAATGTTGACCTCGCTACTCACAAGAAGTCTTTGATATAGATGCGGCAGATATTGCCGGGCTTGAAACAGGTGTCGGGGTCTGCCATAGTGAAGCATAGCCTACCCGACGCAATCGCTGTCCTGGCGGGAACTGTGTTTTGACGATAACGACACTAAACTCATGTGGCACAGACACCACGAGCCTTAAGTGTTCTTCTAACCACTTTTTTTTGTATGATTATCTTGTAATTTCATGAGTGATAATTTATTGTACACCTCATATATTTATTCTGTGATTGGTATTTTATTGTGCACCTCATATATTTATCCTGTGATTGGTACATTATTGTACACCCCATATATATATCCTGTGATTGGTAGATAATTGCGCATGCTATATACCCCTCTTTTGAGCATTAGATTTTTGTGTACTCCTTATATATTTATCCTGTGAGCAGTATAAATCTATCCTGTGAGCAGTATAAATCTATCCTGTGAGCAGACGGGGCCTGACGGCTGAGTGGACAGCGCTCGGGGTTCATAGTCCTAAGATTCCGGGTTCGATCCCCGGAGGAGGCAGAAACAAATGGGCAGTTTCTTTTATCTTGATGCGTCTGTTCACCTACCATTAAATAGGTACCTGGGAGTTAGTCAGCTGGTACAGGCTGCTTCCTGGGGATGTGTAACAAAAAAGGAGGACTGGTCAAGGACCGGGCTGTGGGGATGCTAAGCCACAAAATCATCTAAAGTTAACATCAAGATAGTAGATATGTGCACCCCATATATACTCAGCCTTTGAGCGGCAGTCTGTTATGCTCCTCATTTATTTATTTATTTATTTATATACAAGAAGGTACATTGGGTTTGTGAGAATACATAGCATAGTATTTACAATGACACCCCACCAACATGGGTTCAGGGAGGGTAAATCTTGCCTTACAGGCTTGATAGAATTCTACGATCAGGTGACAAAGATTAGACAAGAAAGAGAAGGGTGGGCGGACTGCATTTTTTTTGGACTGTCGGAAAGCCTTTGACACAGTACCACATAAAAGGTTGATGCATAAGCTGGAGAGACAGGCAGGAGTAACTGGTAGGGCGCTCCAGTGGATAAGGGAGTACCTAAACAATAGGAAGCAGAGAGTTACAGTGAGGGGTGAGACCTCAGAATGGCGTGAAGTCACCAGTGGAGTCCCACAGGGCTCTGTGCTTGGACCTATCCTGTTTCTGATATACATAAATGATCTCCCAGAGGGTATAGACTCATTCCTCTCAATGTTTGCTGACGACGCCAAAATTATGAGAAGGATTAAGACAGAGGAGGACAGCTTGAGGCTTCAAGAAAACCTGGACAAGCTGCAGGAATGGTCGAACAAATGGCTGTTAGAGTTTAACCCAAGCAAATGTAATGTAATGAAGATAGGGGTAGGAAGCAGGAGACCAGATACAAGGTATCACTTGGGAGATGAAATACTTCAAAAGTCAGAGAGAGAGAAAGACCTGGGGGTTGATATCACGCCAGACCTGTCCCCTGAAGCTCATATCAAGAGGATAACAGCAGCAGCATATGCCAGGTTGGCTAACATAAGAACGGCCTTTAGAAACTTGTGTAAGGAATCTTTCAGAACATTATATACCACATATGTCAGACCAATCCTGGAGTATGCGGCACCAGCATGTAGTCCATATCTAGTCAAGCATAAGACTAAAATGGAAAAGGTTCAAAGGTTTGCCACCAGACTAGTACCCGAGCTGAGAGGTATGAGCTACGAGGAGAGACTACGGGAATTAAACCTCACTTCGTTGGAAGACAGAAGAGTTAGGGGGGGACATGATCACCACATTCAAGATCCTCAAGGGAATCGACAGGGTTGATAAAGACAGGCTGTTTAACACAAGGGGCACATGCACTAGGGGACACAGGTGGAAACTGAGTGCCCAAATGAGCCACAGAGATATTAGAAAGAACTTTTTTAGTGTCAGAGTGGTTGACAAATGGAATGCATTAGGAAGTGATGTGGTGGAGGCTGACTCCATGCACAGTTTCAAGTGTAGATATGATAGAGCCCAATAGGCTCAGGAACCTGTACACCTGTTCATTGACAGTTGAGAGGCGGGACCAAAGAGCCAGAGCTCAACCCCCGCAAGCAACACCTAGGTGAGTACAATCTTGTAGCGGGTTTTCTTCCTATTGGGGAGTGTTGTACATGCTGCTATGGCGGTGTGTCCACTCACAAGATGAGTGGCGCTGCCCAATAAACTCGCCCCTCGGGGCAAAATTTAAAATTTAAATTTAAGCCACTAGTACACGCAGTGTTTCGGGCAGGTCCTTAATCTAACAGATAATTTTAAGTAGGTAAATTCTAGCAGAATTAATAAAATGATAACAGATACATTGCAAGAAAAAAAATCATATACTCATTTTGAGTAGCTTATTGTGCACCTCATACTTATCCTGTGAGTGGCAGTTTATTATGCATGCTATACTCTCCTTGTGGCTGGTAGTTTATTGTGCACATTGTACTCATCAGTGGTGAGTTGTAGTTTATTGTGCATCTCATACTCGTCTTTTGAACAGTAGTTTATGGTTCACCTATGTATTCATCAGGTTGTGAGTGGTAGATAATTGTGCACTCTATATATACTGTATAAATATTCATATACTAGTGATTATGTGTTTTCTATGAAGCTTTTTAAGGGTATCTATTATGTTTAGTATATCACCTATGCACGTAGTTAATAAGTCAATATTGACTATATGAATTTGCAAGAACGGGTTGTATATATACCAGGTGGGGTAGCCAGCTATGCCCCTGATAGTCTACCTTTTCCACATCCCCTTTTTTATTTCCCCTCTTCTCCATCTTCACTTCCCCTCCCCCCCATTTTCCCTCTTCTTTCTCTATGTCCTCCCCTTCCTTTCCCTTTCTTCCTGCCCATTTCCCCCATTTTCTCCCTTCTCTCCACCCTTCCACCTCACCTCACCTCCATCTTTCTACCCACCCTTCCTCCAACTTCAGATAGTCATTTAGCTATGACTATTACTATTATGGCTGCAGATGGCTATGATAGTAGATGGCTATGACTATTACATAGATGATAGCTATGTGTATTAGTGGCTTTAGGTACTAGCTCTATCTATAAATCCATCATTATGTTTGTAAATTACCTACTGTATGTATGTACTTTTCCTGAATAAAAAATTTAATTTTAATTTAATTTAATTTATTTTCCATTTATGTATAAAGTAAATAATGAAAATGCATGAGTAAACAGCGGTAGTAGTTTCAATTCTGTTGACAACACATCCTCGATTTGATTTTTGCCATCATGAAACTTGCACGGGGTTTGGGTTATAGGCTACATTCCTTAAAGCATTTAACTTAGCTCTACCCCAACCAGCCTGTGTTCATCCCATACCATTCACCCCTGCAAATTAGGGTAAGACTAGCCCCAAGCATCTGGCCTCCAGGTTTGACAATCAGACTGACAAACATTCTCTCTTATAGTACAATATATATAATATATATAATATGATTACGAGCTTCAGAACATTACAATCCAAGATTATTATTGTTATAAACAACCTTATAGCATTTCAAGGTACATAAATTATTTAATAAATGCAAACAAAGCCATCATGATTGAGGAAAGATGTACAAAGAAATATAGGTTTTGTAAGTGGACACATAAAATGCTTCATGAATCCTGGCCGTGGACACCTAATTCACAACTTTCATATTGAGAATGATAAAGCACAAGGTCAGATCGATTCACTGTAATGTAAACTGACAATAGGCAACTGACAGACTAGAACTCAATCCTTGCATACACAGCTGGGTATGAACACCCCTACAGGCATGAATATATGCACATAAAAAAATACGCAAGTTCTCTTTTGTGTACAGAGTTCTAGATGGATGGAACCATTTAAGTGAGACAGTGGTGGATGCCAAAACCATCAGTAATTTAAAGTGTCATGTAACAAAGATTACCAGGAAGACAGAACCTGATGAGCATAGTTCTTGTCCTCTGACTAGACTTGGGTAATTACACATACACAACTGCAAACTGAACACCAAAAATAAATCAAGATATAAGACTAGGTAGCAGGGGAAAAGACCTCTATGAAAAGATTCAAATGCAAATACAAAACAAAGCCCATGAATGGGAAATTTGAGAAGCATCACAGCAGTAAATTAACATAGGACCATAACCTAGTACATACAAGAAAGAGAAATTGCTGAAACCTGCAACTTCAAGAACAAGAGATCATAAATTCAGGGTAAAGAAACAAAGATGCCAACAAATATTAGAAATTACTTCTTTTACAGAGTGATAGAGATGGTTGGAAGAAATTAGGTGAGAAGGCTGTAGACGCTAAAACTGTTAGTAGTGTCATAGCATCATATGATAAAAAGTACTGGGAAGATCGGACACCAGTTTTAGAAAATGGAGCAGAAGAGAGTGACAACATAAGAAACACGAACACAACATATGCTCACAGAGAAACGTACTAAAGATATACAGTAAAATCTTAACAGACAAAATATGATGATGATGTTCATCCTTCGGAGTCAAAGATGACCATAACTTGAATATAACAGGTCAAAGGTCGGTGGTTGAGTCAGATGGAGGACGAGACCAATCTGGGTCCAAAACACAAGCCCACACACGGAACATATGTGGGTAGGTGATACTGGAGAGGCAGAGGTTGCTCTAGCTTTGCATGCGGTACATTTCCTCTGGGCTTGTACAGTCCATCTATTTTCTGCCACTAAGGTTCCTGTAGTGACTGCTTTTCCAAGTTGGACTATCCTGAGCAAGCGACTCCTAAGTATGGGGTAGCTGTCCAAGGTCATTGAGGAACACCTTGAGGCAGTCCTTGAGTCATTTCTTATGCCCCCAACTGAAGAAGAATATGCTAAGCCAGTACAACTATAAAGTGCATGGACTGAGTATGAGGACAAAGATCTGTGATAGGATGGAGAGAGGAAATGGTGTTCAACCATATGAACTGAAATATACACAATTTTGGGTGACAATATTCAAAGAATATACAAGCCCTGTAGTAGTTTATTAGATTTATTTAATGCAGTTTGGTTACAGCAATTGGATGTTAGAAATGGTACAATGGTGTTGCGATAGATTGAGACTAGTATCTTAGTTATGTGCTCTGGCAGTCAGGTAGGACATAGTGTTGATGGTGGCTGGATATGGTATCAGACTGGTCAAAATAATGAGGGAATCACTTTTGGAGCTGAATTACCCTGGTAACAATGGAGAATCGGCAAGCCAAGCTATAGGTCCAGCACTGCCATGGGTAGCAGGAAGCAATGGATATTGTAGATGAGGCTGTCAGAGCTGTAGCTGAAGAAGTCATAGTGAAAAATCACATATGTGGCAAGGTCATAGACAGCAGTCCATGGTGGGCAGCAATGGAGATTTCAGTCTAGTCAGAGGCCATGTTGTAGTTCGCCTGGGCTGGGTGTTTTTGACACTCTTTGGGTCACCAGTGTAGCATTTACGATTTTGGGTGACAATATGCATAGAGTACAGTAGCTTTATGTTTATTTAATATAGTTTGGTTACAGCAATTGAATGTTAGTAATGGTATAACTATGTCATGATAAGCTGAAACAAGGATACTGGTTACATGCTGCTGGCAGAGTCAAAATACAAATACAAAATACAAATATTTATTCAGGTAAAGTACATAAATACAAGGTGAGATACAAAAGTTGATGGATTTATAGATAGAGCTAGTACATACAATACAATGTCAAGTAGGATGTAGTGCTGATGGTGGCTGGAGACAGAGTTCGAATGGAGCAGAGAACAGAGAGCTTGAGCAAGGCGAGGGGTGGAGAACATAAAGGAAGGTGAGAGCAGAGCTCAAACAAGGGTGAAAGCTGAGAACTCATATGAGGTTATCTTGAGGTTATCTTGAGATGATTTCGGGGCTTTTTAGTGTCCCCGCGGCCCGGTCCTCGACCAGGCCTCCACCCCCAGGAAGCAGCCCGTGACAGCTGACTAACACCCAGGTACCTATTTTACTGCTAGGTAACAGGGGCATAGGGTGAAAGAAACTCTGCCCAATGTTTCTCGCCGGCGCCTGGGATCGAACCCAGGACCACAGGATCACAAGTCCAGCGTGCTGTCCGCTCGGCCGACCGGATGAGGGTAAGAGTGCAGAACTTGAATAAGGCTGAGATTAGCTGTCTGCTCTGTAGTAAGATTGTAGCATCTGGAGTGAGAGTTAGAACAAGACTGATTGATGCTGTGATTTTCAACCATGTTATATCTGTGTCCAACTGACCTTGTGATGGACCCAGTTTGCTGCCTTATTTGGCAGGTTGATCATCATTTGATCTGATAGGAAGCTTGCTAATTACTTTTGGCTTTCTTAAGTGATTTGCAAAAATCTTAGGGAACATGTATTAATGTAATTACAGAAGTCATTAGTGGCAAATATATTTGTGGATGTCATGTGGGATAAAAGGGTACTTTTAATTGATTGCAATAGAACTTCTGAGAACTTGGAGAAACTATATTACTATTAATACAGTTGCAATCAAACCAAACCAAATAAATAAATAAATACATAAATATATACTGTACATAAATAAATACTGTACATAAATAAATAAATACATAAATAAATAAATTTATTTATTTATTTATATATATATATATATATATATATATATATATATATATATATATATATATATATATATATATATATATATATATATATATATATATATATATATATATATATATATATATATATATATAAAATATGAGAAGGCATTTGGTTATGGGGACAAGGAGATGGTGTATGGGGATGAGGAGCTGGTGCATGAGGACAAGGACCTGGGATATATGGATGGAGTAAGGGAATGGTGCATAGCCATTTGGAGCATCAGGGATCAAACACTGTCCATCATATCTTGTCTCTAATTGGTCCATCCTACATGAGGCAACACACAGCAGAATCCCTCTCGGCAGAATTCTCTTCAGCGGCTTTCTGTTCCTTAAGTCTGTCATCTATCATCCTCTCCTGCAGCTGCTGCTGGTGGCGGTGCAACTCCAAGCGCAACTTCTCGATCTCCTGGTTGAGGGCCTCTTCCTTCTCCTGTCACCAGATAATGAGAATGAGAGTGAATGATGGTTAAGTTGCATGTTTATTTCTCTTCCTGTCTATTGCAAACAAATCATTCTACTAACTAATTTCTGCCAATCAATTCATTTGTTCACTGGCCTCACCTTTTGTTTATCACAGTTACTACAAAACTTACAGTGCTTGTTTTGCCTTTTCTCTGAAAGTGGCTGATGTCTGTCAAATCATCTGACTATCCATTTAACAATATCTACCCCTTTATATTGCTCTATCTATATTGTTATCCCTGATTATGTAACTCAAAATAAATCAGCATTTTGAATAACAAACTCCAATCCCAGACAGCATTCAGCACCCTTCTCAAAATCCTTGAATATGTGAAATATGTGATTGGGTGAAACCCTGGTTTGGTTTCAGTGGAAGCTTCAGGAATCCTCTTGGATTCAGTAAAGTCCCAGGTTGTAATCCTTTTGACCATGTCGTGGCTTAGTCGTCTAAAGCATTTGCTTGGGAGTAACCAGAGCATAGGTTCAAATTATTATTATTATTATTATTATTATTATTATTATTATTATTATTATTATCTCTCTAATTGCATAGCCCTCTCTCTCTCTCTCTCTTATCCATATAAGAACAATTTATATTACTAATATTCATAAATTGAACTACTGTATCTATTACCTGATATTAAACAGGTTTATTATGGGTTTATACCTTTTATTAGCTTTTCCATGAATAATATTTTTCCCCCACCAATTTATCCTAAAGATACATCCATAAAGCTATCTTTACCTTCATCTGCACCTGCAATACCCACTATATAGTCAAGAGAATCAGGTGTACCGACCTTCAGTGTTTTGACATATCTCACAGGAACAGACTAGGCCAAACTTCAACAGTGTCATGTATCTCAAATCTGAGACGTTTCTGGTAGTGGAAACTGGAGGCCAAAATGCAACTATCATTTACTCTAGTCATCTTAGCCTCCTTATCTATCCTATCCTCTTCTTTTCTACTGACTTTTCCTAACAGTCAACTACATCCTGATCTAACCACCTAAGTAATCCTAGCCATCCTCTTAATGACAGAGGGAGAGAAGAATCCTAGCCATCCTCTTAATGACAGAGGGAGAGAAGAATCCTAGCCATCCTCTTAATGACAGAGGGAGAGAAGAATCCTAGCCATCCTCTTCCCCTGCCGTCCCCTGCCCTCCCCTTAACTTATCCTAGCTATTGCCTCCTCCTGCTCCTCCTATTTTCTTCCCTGTAACTTACCTTAGCTATTATCTCCTCCTCCTCCTCCTCCTCTATCCTCTCCCTTAACTTACCCTAGCCAACCTTGCCTCCTTTTCTCTTTTCTTATCATCTGCATTTTTGTTCCTTTGCTTTGAGGACTTGGGTTCCTTCTTGTCAGCTTTTACCTGCTGTCTGTTCCTCTCTCCGGGGCTTGGAGATGGTGGCATAAACGGTGATCGCACAGGGTCACGAGATGCTGTTAAACAGTAAAGAAAGCAGCAATCAACAAAAGGAGGTAATTATAAGGAGAAAGCCCTAAGCCAGTGTAACTATACATGGTAATACAGTACTTGAAAAGAATATGAGAAGAGAGTGAATTAATGGTACCCAACCATCTGGACCATTGGAGATCGAATGCCAACCCTGTAAGAAACTAGTAGGTTTATATAGCACTGTCTGCTCAGCCGCCGGCTCCCTTCCCTTCGGTTCAAGATTGTTTTTCCAAAGCTCTATATCTGTTGGTATTGACCTCTGAGGGTTGGGTCGGCGAGCTTCATGCTCTCCTTCGGCACCAGGGTTTTGCTCTTTCGGTCCTGGTAGTCGGTTTGTTTGGTTGCAGTCTTCTCCTCCTTTTCTGGTGAAGAACGATATGGCTGCTTTCCAGAGAGGTCCTTGGGTCATTAATGCTTGGTTGATCAGGCTGGCAGTGCATCATGTGTTGTGTCCAGTTGCAGTTCTTCGCCGTTACCTGTGCATCTTGGCTTCTGGGGCTGGGGATGTGATTTGGTTGATCCGGTTTCCCTTGTTCCCTGTTCCAAGGCTCGGGTCTCCAAGGTCGTTCCTTGGGGTATTAAGTCTAGCCAGCCTGTGGTCTATCGTCATGCTCATGACGTTAGGAAGTTTGCGGCTTTGGCTGCCAGCTTCAGCAACATGTCTAGGGCTGATATTCAGGTGCAGGGATTTTGGAGGTCAAACAAGGTTCTGGCTGCCTGTTATTTGGCCAATATTCCTGGTCTTGGGCGTTCGTCTGTGACGTTTGGTTGCAGGTTGCAACCAGTTGTCTCGCCTTCGAGTTGAGGAGCTTATGGCGACTGCCTCCCGGATAAGTCCCTCTCTTCCTTATCTTTGGTTATGTAGCTCCAGAGAGCCGAAGGGGCTCTCCTCATAAAATTTTCTTTTTTCCAAGGAGGCTCCCCTCAGAATATGATTCTCTGACGATTTCATTTTGTACAAACACACTTTGGAACTTTTCGTTCAATGTTTCACACATTTCCTTTTCATTTTCCGTGAATCTGTTTCCCATTTTCAACCTCTTGATATTATCCTTTACCTGCCATTCGTTGTTGAATTTGTAGAATAGGCCTGGTTTTGTTTTACATTTGTCCGCAATCCCTTCCTCAAAATTTCGTTCTGCCTCTCTCCTCACTACCGTGTAGTTTTTTTCTCGCATCTTTATATCGCTGGTATGTTTGGAGGTTTGTCCTCTTCCTATATTGATTCAATTTTTGTGTCTTTTGGACTCTGGCCCTCTCACAATTTCTGTTGAACCAATCCTGTTTCCTAGTTCTGCATCTCTGCTTTGGTAGAAATTTTGTTGTGCCTTTATCATATATTTTTCAAAACTTGACATATATCTCATTTACTGTACTTCCTTTCCTAACAGCAAGTCTTTCTGGCCAAATTCCTTAAAGAAATGTCTAAGTTCCCATAATGTCCTCTCCTGAAATCAGGTTTTTCACCTTGTAAATTACCTAAGTGTAGTTACAGGATGAGAGCTACGCTCGTGGTGTCCCGTCTTCCCAGCACTCTTTGTCATATAACGCTTTGAAATTACTGACGGTTTTGGCCTCCACCACCTTCTCACCTAACTTGTTCCAACCGTCTACCACTCTGTTTACAAAAGTGAATTTTCTTATATTTCTCCAGCAGCTTTGTTTCGTTAGTTTAAATCTATGACCTCTTGTTCTTGAAGTTCCGGGTCTCAGGAATTCTTCCCTATCAATTTTATCGATTCCTGTTATTATTTTGTGCGTAGTGATCATATCGCCTCTTTTTCTTCTATCTACTAGTTTTTGCATATTTAATGCCTCTAACCCTTTTTGTAGCTCTTATCCATATATGATATACTTGAGGGTTCGATCTAAAGACCGTCAGGACTCCGGCGGTTGTCCCCACAACCTGACCATGATTCTTTCTAAAAACTTCCCAACATCTCTGTGACTCATCTGAGTTTCCAGCTTCCACCCATGTCCCCCTCGTTATGTTACTATTCCGTGTGAACATTTCGTCTATGTCTACTCTGTCAATCCCCTTAAAGAAGGATTCGAACGCAGACAGCCAGGAGCAACATGCACCTTGGCATATCTACTACCTTAGCTAAATCAATCTGTTTTCCCCTAATACGTCTACTACATATATTTCTCACTTAACACACGCAAACATTCCCAGGAAGCAGCTGTATAACTCCCAGATAACTTTACTGCTAGGTGAACAGGTGCATTAGGGTGAAATAAACTTTGCCCATTAATTTCTGCCTCCGCCGGGAATCGAACTCAGGGCCCTTAGGACTACGACCCCCGAGCCGTATCCACTCAGCCGCGAGGCCCCATAATTGGGTGTGTAAAGTGGTGCATGTGCATTAAGAGATGCACTTTAGAGCTAGAAACTTTTTTATGAAAAGTAATGTCTTATGTATGGAAGAAGGCACTCAAATTATAGCTGCAGATGAATGCTACATGAAGACTAAACCACACACCAGAAGATGAGGAGACGATGACGTTTCGATCCGTCCTGGAGCATTATTAACTCGATTGGATCATTATCACAATCAACTTGATAATGGTCCAGGACAGAGTGAAACGTCATCGTTTCCTCATCTTCTGTTGTTTGGTTTAGTCTTCATATCTTCAACCACGTTATTGTGACTCAGCGTCTGCACATGAATGCTGTATGGATTTAACACGCAGCATACAGCCCTTGGCAGTAACATATATGACTGGAGTGTTATTGTCATCCCCCACATGAATTGTATTAATGTAACTTATTCACATCAATTATTATTGGTATTATTTTTTGCTCCTACTGATTTTCTCATTATAATTACAGGTGTTATTATTGTCATTATATCTGATGGGATGTGGTGATCCCACTGCCAACTACTTTGTACCACAATCAGAGTCAAAAATATTGTATTAAAGGAGAAAGAAACTGGGTTGGAAACGCTTCTTTTCAAAATTTATCCCCACACAAAGAAAATCGGCTTCTTTTATTTATATATAATACCCTTTTACTAAATTATTTGATTTATTCTTCCATGGTAATCATGAAGGAATAAAACCATGTCCCCACATTATGAAAATACAAAATGGGGTTAATAGCAGTGAATGAATGAATGAATGATTATTATAAATATTATTATAATTATTATTGTTGTTACAATTCATTAATAATTCATCTTACACTGTAAGAAAATCAATTTCACTACAGTGCTCTAGTGTTGAGACTACAACTATCATAACACTAGACCGTAACAAAGCTGTCATGACAAGCATGGAGTCAAGTCGCACTAATGCACTCCTGCTGTTGTTAAGAGCACGGAAGGTGTTCTCTGGAAGCTATCTAACAAGGCGCTTCACCATGGAACATGGAAGGTGTTCTCTGGAAGCTATCTAACAAGCAGCTTCACCATGGAACATGGAAGGTGTTCTCTGGAAGCTATCTAACAAGCAGCTTCACCATGGAACATGGAAGGTGTTCTCTGGAAGCTATCTAACAAGCAGCTTCACCATGAAACATGGAAGGTGTTCTCTGGAAGCTATCTAACAAGCAGCTTCACCATGGTATGGAACATTTTACACAAGCAAAGAGGCACTGCTTGGGATGTTTCTGAGCCCAGTAAGCTGTTCCAGCAATTAATACAAGGCTGCACAAAAACAGGAAATTAAAGGAGAAATTAAACAGGGTATTCAACAGTTGACATGCGCATCGGTAGGAGAGCGTCCGGTCTGCTACTAGATTTAAATTTATTCAAACTCACACGGATCTGGCCTGGCTGTCATTCTACCCTGTCTCCTGTTGTTGTTGTTGTTAAATCTGTTGTCTTTACCGGGCTGTTTGGAGAGCCTCCTTGGTGGGGACGTCTTACGGCGCTGGGGTTTCTTTTTCGCAGCTCTACCTCCTGCCCACACTTCATCTGCATCGTTCAACTCTGCCTTCAGCCAATCTGGGACCTGCAATCCGCATGGAGAGATGTCAGCCAATCACATAAAAACCATCATAATAAAATACCCCTGACCAATATAAAATGAGAAAAACACAGTGGAAAAGATCGTAGGAATTCTTGGAAGATATCCACAATGATATCAATTTTAGAATATCAGTTTCAACAGATCCAAACCCTATTTATAAAACAATCCTTCTGAATAGCTTAGACAAATAAAAAGCCCAACATGAAAATAAATTGGAGATGTTTTGGTTCATCCTGTATCCTTATCAAGTCCTGGGCAGACCAAAACATTGTCAATTTAATTTAATTTCTTATGTCATTAAGACGTTATGTGTGTGGTTGGGTTATTTATTTCAGCCATGTTACTCTGAAGCTTAGCTCTTATTTTGTCCAAAAAGAACTTTTAAGCCAAGCATTTAGCTGCTCCCTAAGATAAGGTACTACTCACCTCACTTTAGGATCTGTTACATTCAGTACAAGCCAATATTTCTCAAGAGCATTGCAAGGAACATTTCAAATCATCCACGTTATGTTATACAGATGCAAGAAAGATACTGAAGGGAACTCCATCCAGCCCAAGATGTAGGCAAAAAACCAGCATTGAATGTAATGCAACGGCACTTTCTGGGTGGGTCCTGGAGGCTCCCCGAAGCTTACTGGGCTGATATGAATATACAGTATTAGACAATTCGATTGGAGTTCTTGCCTACTGGGGCACCCCAAACCTCTCTGAGGGGGTGCCAGGTTCTGGCTCATTGTCCCCGATAGGCCTAAGAATTACATTGGCTTTGACTGATGCCACGGTCTAATACATTCATATCAGCCCGGGATAGCTCCAGGGAGCCGAAGAGGCTTCCCCATAAAAAAACTTTCTTTTGGTGTCATAACATAACAGGCTAAGAAGGTCAACACATTGGGACATGAAACGAGCAATAATGCCACTTTCATCTCACCGGTCCCATGGAATCCATCTCTACGTCATCTTCGCTATCCTCCTTTTCATTGCTCTTCTCCTTTCCCTTACTGCTTTCCTTCTCCTTGTCCGCAATCCCCCTTCCTAGTTTTATTCCAGCTGCTTCCTCCACCTCTGCTGGCAAGGAACTGAGAAAGAGACTTAATGTCATCATCTGTAAGGTATAGTTATTAGTGGGATGGGTGTAGGAGCCAGCTGACCTACTGGTTATAAGGTGTAGTTATTAGTGGGATGGGTGTAAGAGCCAGCTGACCTGTTGTTTATATGGTGTAGTTATTAGTGGGATTAGAGGTTAGAGGTCGGACTTCGGATCCGAAGATTGCAGGTTCGAGTCCTGTCACGGTCGAGATAAATGCACATCACAGGCATTGTGTTAGTTGTAATTTTTAGTATCGGGCCCCTGCGAAAGGGGGATGGAACTTTCACCGATGACAACAAAGAAATGAGTGAGCTACTGAGGAAGCAGTACGACTCTGTTTTCAGCGAGCCATTAAACACACTAAAGATTGATAACCCAAATGAATTTTTCATGGATATGATATCAACATCAAATCATATATCAGACGTCACCCTATCCCCACTGGATTTTGAAGAAGCCATAAACAGTATGCCTATGCACTCTGCACCAGGCCCGGATTCTTGGAACTCCATATTCATCAAGAACTGTAAAAAACCACTATCGCAGGCCCTCCACATTCTGTGGAGACAAAGCCTAGATACTGGCGTTATTCCTGATATACTGAAAACAGCAGAGATAGCACCACTTCATAAAGGAGGAAATAAGGCAGAGGCAAAAAATTACAGACCGATAGCACTAACATCGCACATCATAAAAAATTTTGAGAGTGCTAAGAAGTAAGATCACAAAATACATGGAATCACAACATCTCCATAACCCTGGACAACATGGTTTCAGAACAGGGCGCTCTTGCCTGTCGCAGTTGCTGGACCACTATGATATGGTGTTAGATGCTATGGAAGACAAACAAAACGCTGATGTAATTTACACAGATTTCGCAAAAGCTTTTGATAAATGTGACCATGGCGTTATTGCACATAAAATACGTTCAAAAGGAATTACCGGAAAAATAGGCAGATGGATCTACAATTTCCTGACCAACAGAACCCAATGTGTAATAGTCAACAAAATAAAATCCAGCCCATCAACCGTGAAAAGCTCAGTCCCCCAGGGTACTGTGCTTGCTCCAGTACTTTTTCTCATCCTCATATCGGACATAGACAAGAACACAACCTATAGCACTGTATCATCCTTTGCAGATGACAATAGGATCTTCATGAGAGTAGGCAACATAGAGGACACGGCAAACCTCCAGTCAGATGTAGATCAGGTCTTTCTATGGGCTACAGAAAATAATATGGTGTTTAACAAAGATAAGTTCCAGCTCATGCGCTATGGAAAAATAAAAATTTAAAAACGGAAACCACGTACAAAACTCAGGCAAATCATAACATAGAACGAAAAGGCAATGCAAAGGATTTGGGTGTACTCATGTCGGAAGACCTTACCTTTAAAGAACACAATAAAGTAGCCGTCACAACTGCAAGAAAAATGACAGGTTGGATAACAAGAACTTTTCACACTAGAGATGCTATACCAATGATGACACTTTTCAAAACGCTTGTGCTCTCTAGAGTGGAGTACTGCTGCACAATGACAGCCCCTTTCAAAGCTGGAGAAATTGCTGACCTGGAGAGCGTGCAGAGATCCTTTACTGCTAGAATCCACTCAGTAAAACATCTAAACTATTGGGACTGACTAAAGAGCCTAAATCTGTACTCCCTTGAGCGCAGGCGGGAGCGCTCAAGAATCAATTAAAAATAATTTACACGTGGAAAATATTAGAGGGGCTGGTCCCAAACTTGCACACAGAAATAACATCACATGAGACCAGAAGACATGGCAGGATGTGCAGAATACCCCCGTTGAAAAGCAGAGGTGCAACAGGTACTCTGAGAGAGAACTCTATCAACATCAGAAGCCCGAGACTGTTCAACACGCTTCCGCTACACATAAGGGGCATAACTGGCCGACCCCTCACAGTGTTCAAGAGAGAACTGGATAAGCACCTCCAAAGGATACCTGATCAACCAGGCTGTGACTCATACGTCAGGCTGCGAGCAGCCGCGTCCAACAGCCTGGTTGATCAGTCCGGCAACCAGGAGGCCTGGTCGACGACCAGGCCGCGGGGACGCTAAGCCCCGGAAGCACCTCAAGGTAACCTCAAGGTAAGGGATGGGTATAGGAGCCAGCTGACCTGTTAGTTATAAGGTGTAGTTATTAGTGGGATGGGTGTAGGAGCCAGTTGACCTGTTGTTTATAAGGTGTAGTTATTAGTGGGATGGGTGTAGGAGCCAGTTGACCTGTTGTTTATAAGGTGTAGTTATTAGTGGGATGGGTGTAGGAGCCAGTTGACCTGTTGTTTATAAGGTGTAGTTATTAGTGGGATGGGTGTAGGAGCCAGTTGACCTGTTGTTTATAAGGTGTAGTTATTAGTGGGATGGGTGTAGGAGCCAGCTGACCTGTTAGTTATAAGGTGTAGTTTGCGTGGGATTCAGGATTCAGGAGTCAACAAACTTTTGTAACTAATATGACAACACGAACTTTGTAATGAATATAACAACATAAACTTTGTATTGGATATGCAAACACAAACTTTGTATTGGATATGTCAACACAAACTTCATAATGGCCCCATCAGGCTACATCAACACAAACTTCATAACGGCGACATCAGCATAAACTGAATAATGGCTACATCAACACAAACTTCAAAGTGGATGTGGAGAGGATGGTGAGAGGCCTACCTTCCCGCCCTGGGGAGTGGAACTGTTGTGTCCACCACCAGGAAGATACTCTGGTTCTGGCAGTGAAGACTTGCAAGGTTGACTGTCTCTCCCTTGGCAATCTGGGCTTGTGAGGCATACAATCTAGAAAATAACAGATTTAACATAGCATCATATATGTTTGTTATCGTTTGATAAGGAATTAGGTCCTCAGCTAACATCATTTCCAGGGCTATAAAATTATTAATACTGTAGCTAAACAACAAGTTGTTATGCAAGATGAATGATATTTTAAAGAAACTTTAGATTTTGTTAAGAAGTGGGGGATGAGTAATAAGAAACTAATGGCAAGCGTAAAGAAAAGCCTCTTAAAAATGCAGATGTTGCTACTGGGGCACTGTTGCTTCCTTACAAATTTGTCATTTTCTGTGAATGTGTCATATTATGTCCTCAGTCTCATTACTTGCTCCATTACTGCCTTCTGAATTGGATGTGAAGCAGCTCGGTTTACACATTTGCCTTAGCCATTGTGATTTTTTAACCTACTGTACCTGTTTCCTTCTCTTGCACTGACATACCTGTTATGGCCAACTGGTTCATCACCTTGTTTCTAGTGTTGTTTGTGCTCTGTATTACTTTCCTGCTGCCTTGTTCAGCTTCACTTTATTGGGAAAAATACGTCCATTGCTTCCCACCATTTTTGGGTAAAGGCCATTAATTCTTGTGTGGTCTTACCACTGAGTTTAGTCTTGGATTGCATTCCTGCTAAGAATTATCTCATTCCTTCATAATTTTCAATTTTTTGTGGCTATCCCTTTTTTTCACCTTTCTTTCAATCACATTTCCTTAGGTATTCAAATTAATTTAAAGACCTGTGTGAAGATGAGATCTAGTTTGGTCTGCCTCTCCTGATCTGATTCTCCATATCCATGTTTCCTCATGGGAATCCCTTTTTCCTAGTCTGTTTTACCATAATTAGAAGTCTTTGTCAGTTCTGACTACAATTAAAGCATGCTTTTCTTCAAGTGAGTGAGTGAGTGAGTGAGTGAGTGCAGGTGGGAGGAGGAGGCTGTCATATGTGAGAAAGAGAATTTCAGGAGAAAGTATGGGGAATGTGGTACTGACGCAAGGACCTCCTGCGGGTGGAGGAGAACATCCCTCATCCTGATCTCACGCTGGTGTCTTGCAACTGCTTCTTGTGCAGATCCTATGTCACCACCACTACTTGCACTGCCACTACTCGCACTACCTCCACTGCTGCGATAACCACTGCCATCACCTGCAAACAGGTAGTTACATTTCAGAACAGCCTCCAAGATCCATTAAATTCCTGGAATTTACTCCTGATTATTTCCACTAATAGCCTACCATCTGTAATACTCTCCAGGTGTTTGAACCTTCATGCAATGAATAATCTTGGCTCATTCACTAGTTGACTAATGATTGATAGGTGGGACCAAGGAGCTGAAGTTCAACTCCTGCAAGCACAACTAGGTAAGAAGAATTAGATGAGCACTTGGCATTAGGACAAATCTATGTCATACCTTACCAACCTGAATACCATCAAGTGTACCACTCCTGAAACCCAGCTAAATAGCACCAGTTGCCCACCAACCCCACTTTTTAGGCACCAGTTGCCCACCAACCCCAATTTTGAAGCACCAGTTGCCCACCAACTCCACTTTTGAGGCAACAGTTGCCGACCAACCCCCTTTTAAAGCACCAGTTGCCCACCGACCCCCTTTTAAAGCACCAGTTGCCCACCGACCCCATTTTTGAAGCACCAGTTGCCCACCAACCCCACTTTTGAAGCACCAGTTGCCCACTGGCTCACTTTTGAAGCACCAGTTGCCCACCAACCCACTTTTGAAGCACCAGTTGCCCACCGACCCACTTTTGAAGCACCAGTTGCCCACCAACCCACTTTTGAAGCACCAGTTGCCCACCAACCCACTTTTGAAGCACCAGTTGCCCACTGGCTCACTTTTGAAGCACTAGTTGCCCACCAACCCACTTTTGAAGTACCAGTTGCCCGCTGACCCACTTTTGAAGCACCAGTTGCCCACCAACCCCCTTTTGAAGTACCAGTTGCCCACCAACCCACTTTTGAAGCACCGGTTGCCCATTAACCCACTTTTGAAGCACCAGTTGCCCACTGGCCCACTTTTGAAGCACCAGTTGCCCACTGGCCCACTTTTGAAGCACCAGTTGCCCACCAACCCACTTTTGAAGCACCAGTTGCCCACCAACCCACTTTTGAAGCACCAGTTGCCCACCAATCCACTTTTGAAGCACCAGTTGCCCACCAACCCACTTTTGAAGCACCAGTTGCCCACCAACCCACTTTTGAAGCACCAGTTGCCCACCAACCCACTTTTGAAGCACCAGTTGCCCACCAACCCACTTTTGAAGCACCAGTTGCCCACCAACCCACTTTTGAAGCACCAGTTGCCCACTGGCCCACTTTTGAAGCACCAGTTGCCCACCAACCCACTTTTGAAGCACCAGTTGCCCACCAACCCACTTTTGAAGCACCAGTTGCCCACCAATCCACTTTTGAAGCACCAGTTGCCCACCAACCCACTTTTGAAGCACCAGTTGCCCACCAACCCATCATTGGAGCACCGGTCATCTCCAGCTTACATGTGGAGCACTATTGGGTCCCTTCAGAACATCCTGTACCACCACCACCACCTCTTGACCTATTATGAGTCCACAACCTTCCCACGCAAGGCTTTCTTTATGCATTATCATAGAAGATGTGGTCATCATCTATGCCTCCTGTGATACCTTTTGCCCAGCAAACAAGCCTGAGGCTCCGGCCTCAGGCGGAGCCTCACATACATACATATACGCTCAATAGTTGGCTACATGGTCAGCACCCCCCTGTACTACACACATGTATAATATATATACATATATATATATATATATATATATGTCGTACCCAATAGCCAGAACTCACTTCTCAGCCTACTATGCAAGGCCCGATTTGTCTAATAAGCAATGTTTTCATGAATTAATATATTTTCTCTAATTTGTTTCTTATGAAATGATAAAGCTACACATTTCATTATGTATGGGGTAATTTTTTTTTTATTGGAGTTAAAATTAACGTAGATTGATTGATTGATGAAGATTAAGCCACCCAAGAGGTGGCACGGGCATGAATAGCCCGTAAGTGGTGGCCCTTTCGAGCCATTACCAGTATCAAAAGATGATACTGGAGATCTGTGGAGGCGCAACTGCACCCTGCGTGACAGGAGATGTCTCCCGGACCAAGTGGTGACCAAATGGTGTAACGTAGATATATGACCGAACCTAACCAACCCTACCTAACCTAACCTAACCTATAAAGATAGGTTAGGTTAGGTTAGGTGGCCGAAAAAGTTAGGTTAGGTTAGGTTAGGTAGGTTAGGTAGTCGAAAAACAATTAATTCATGAAAACTAGGCTTATTAGGCAAATCGGGCCTTGCATATTAGGCTGAGAAGTGCGTTCTGGCTACTAGGTACGACATATATATATATATATATATCAGTACTGCAATATTGTATTTTATAGTAAAATAAAAAGAGGCCACAGAAGTTTGTTCTACTCTCATACCAACCATGCAGTAACAACACCAGCCACCTTCAACTTACCTGCTTCAGCCTTGTTATGGTTGTCCTCGTCTTTTCCTGAAAAGTGGAAGTCTTGATCCTTGCCACTAGCCACAGCTGACCCTAAGGCACTGCGCTGACCCCAGGTGTTCGTAAATCCTTCCTGGGGGTCACAATGATTCTGAACAGTGAAAACAGTTTTCTTTGAGCATTTGACCTGTGAGTGAGTTTGATGACTATTGTTTAGTAAATCTTTTTTGTCTGCTATTAATCTGTCCAACATTTTGTTATGGTTGTGTTGAATGGATGATACTTATCTTACTATGGCTTTAGTATAGAATAAATGATACTTATCTTACTATGGTTTTGTATCGAATGATATTTATCTTACTATGGTTTTGTATATAATGAATGATACTCATCTTACTGCGGCTTTAGTATATAATGAATGATACTTATCTTACTATGGTTTTGCATAGACTGATACTTATCTTACTATGGATTTAGTATACAATGAATGATACTTATCTTACTATGGCTTTGGTATACAATGAATGATATTTATCTAACTATGGCTTTAGTATACAATGAATGATACTTATCTTACTATGGCTTTGTATAGAATGATACTTATCTTACTATGACTTTGGTATACAATGTGAATAGGATAATGGATGATGAAGTTGTAAGTGATATATGGAGGAGTGAAGTGAAGACAACTACCATCTCCATCAATACAAGAAATACCTACACAAACTTTAGCTGCATCTTTCCTATTGCAACTTACACCTTACACTTGCTTTCTCATCATACTACACACATGCAACACTGCAGGGAATGAGTACAAATGGTGTTGATGTTTATACAAAAGTAGTTAGAGGACTGTAAACGTATATATCCCAGAGACGGCTGACAATGTTTGAGCGATCTTTTCTGTCCTGTTGTATAATATATACAATATAATATATAAATATAACATCAAGGTTTAACTGTAAGTTTAGTCTGTTTGGTTGGCCTGGGCCATGTGTTTGGTTAGAGGTTGTTGGTCACGGTGCCTAAGTCCCAGTGTTGTTGTTGTTGTTGTTGTTGTTGTTGTTGTAGTTGTTGTAGTAGTAGTAGTAGTAGTAGTAGTAGTAGTAGTAGTAGTAGTAGTAGTAGTAGTAGTAGTAGTAGTAGTAGTAGTAGTAGTAGTAGTAGTAGTAGTAGTAGTAGTAGTAGTAGTAGTAGTAGTAGTAGTAGTAGTAGTAGTAGTAGTAGTAGTAGTAGTAGTAGTAGTAGTAGTAGTAGTAGTAGTAGTAGTAGTAGTAGTAGTAGTAGTAGTAGTAGTAGTAGTAGTAGTAGTAGTAGTAGTAGTAGTAGTAGTAGTAGTAGTAGTAGTAGTAGTAGTAGTAGTAGTAGTAGTAGTAGTAGTAGTAGTAGTAGTAGTAGTAGTAGTAGTAGTAGTAGTAGTAGTAGTAGTAGTAGTAGTAGTAGTAGTAGTAGTAGTAGTAGTAGTAGTAGTAGTAGTAGTAGTAGTAGTAGTAGTAGTAGTAGTAGTAGTAGTAGTAGTAGTAGTAGTAGTAGTAGTAGTAGTAGTAGTAGTAGTAGTAGTAGTAGTAGTAGTAGTAGTAGTAGTAGTAGTAGTAGTAGTAGTAGTAGTAGTAGTAGTAGTAGTAGTAGTAGTAGTAGTAGTAGTAGTAGTAGTAGTAGTAGTAGTAGTAGTAGTAGTAGTAGTAGTAGTAGTAGTAGTAGTAGTAGTAGTAGTAGTAGTAGTAGTAGTAGTAGTAGTAGTAGTAGTAGTAGTAGTAGTAGTAGTAGTAGTAGTAGTAGTAGTAGTAGTAGTAGTAGTAGTAGTAGTAGTAGTAGTAGTAGTAGTAGTAGTAGTAGTAGTAGTAGTAGTAGTAGTAGTAGTAGTAGTAGTAGTAGTAGTAGTAGTAGTAGTAGTAGTAGTAGTAGTAGTAGTAGTAGTAGTAGTAGTAGTAGTAGTAGTAGTAGTAGTAGTAGTAGTAGTAGTAGTAGTAGTAGTAGTAGTAGTAGTAGTAGTAGTAGTAGTAGTAGTAGTAGTAGTAGTAGTAGTAGTAGTAGTAGTAGTAGTAGTAGTAGTAGTAGTAGTAGTAGTAGTAGTAGTAGTAGTAGTAGTAGTAGTAGTAGTAGTAGTAGTAGTAGTAGTAGTAGTAGTAGTAGTAGTAGTAGTAGTAGTAGTAGTAGTAGTAGTAGTAGTAGTAGTAGTAGTAGTAGTAGTAGTAGTAGTAGTAGTAGTAGTAGTAGTAGTAGTAGTAGTAGTAGTAGTAGTAGTAGTAGTAGTAGTAGTAGTAGTAGTAGTAGTAGTAGTAGTAGTAGTAGTAGTAGTAGTAGTAGTAGTAGTAGTAGTAGTAGTAGTAGTAGTAGTAGTAGTAGTAGTAGTAGTAGTAGTAGTAGTAGTAGTAGTAGTAGTAGTAGTAGTAGTAGTAGTAGTAGTAGTAGTAGTAGTAGTAGTAGTAGTAGTAGTAGTAGTAGTAGTAGTAGTAGTAGTAGTAGTAGTAGTAGTAGTAGTAGTAGTAGTAGTAGTAGTAGTAGTAGTAGTAGTAGTAGTAGTAGTAGTAGTAGTAGTAGTAGTAGTAGTAGTAGTAGTAGTAGTAGTAGTAGTAGTAGTAGTAGTAGTAGTAGTAGTAGTAGTAGTAGTAGTAGTAGTAGTAGTAGTAGTAGTAGTAGTAGTAGTAGTAGTAGTAGTAGTAGTAGTAGTAGTAGTAGTAGTAGTAGTAGTAGTAGTAGTAGTAGTAGTAGTAGTAGTAGTAGTAGTAGTAGTAGTAGTAGTAGTAGTAGTAGTAGTAGTAGTAGTAGTAGTAGTAGTAGTAGTAGTAGTAGTAGTAGTAGTAGTAGTAGTAGTAGTAGTAGTAGTAGTAGTAGTAGTAGTAGTAGTAGTAGTAGTAGTAGTAGTAGTAGTAGTAGTAGTAGTAGTAGTAGTAGTAGTAGTAGTAGTAGTAGTAGTAGTAGTAGTAGTAGTAGTAGTAGTAGTAGTAGTAGTAGTAGTAGTAGTAGTAGTAGTAGTAGTAGTAGTAGTAGTAGTAGTAGTAGTAGTAGTAGTAGTAGTAGTAGTAGTAGTAGTAGTAGTAGTAGTAGTAGTAGTAGTAGTAGTAGTAGTAGTAGTAGTAGTAGTAGTAGTAGTAGTAGTAGTAGTAGTAGTATAGTAGTAGTAGTAGTAGTAGTAGTAGTAGTAGTAGTAGTAGTAGTAGTAGTAGTAGTAGTAGTAGTAGTAGTAGTAGTAGTAGTAGTAGTAGTAGTAGTAGTAGTAGTAGTAGTAGTAGTAGTAGTAGTAGTAGTAGTAGTAGTAGTAGTAGTAGTAGTAGTAGTAGTAGTAGTAGTAGTAGTAGTAGTAGTAGTAGTAGTAGTAGTAGTAGTAGTAGTAGTAGTAGTAGTAGTAGTAGTAGTAGTAGTAGTAGTAGTAGTAGTAGTAGTAGTAGTAGTAGTAGTAGTAGTAGTAGTAGTAGTAGTAGTAGTAGTAGTAGTAGTAGTAGTAGTAGTAGTAGTAGTAGTAGTAGTAGTAGTAGTAGTAGTAGTAGTAGTAGTAGTAGTAGTAGTAGTAGTAGTAGTAGTAGTAGTAGTAGTAGTAGTAGTAGTAGTAGTAGTAGTAGTAGTAGTAGTAGTAGTAGTAGTAGTAGTAGTAGTAGTAGTAGTAGTAGTAGTAGTAGTAGTAGTAGTAGTAGTAGTAGTAGTAGTAGTAGTAGTAGTAGTAGTAGTAGTAGTAGTAGTAGTAGTAGTAGTAGTAGTAGTAGTAGTAGTAGTAGTAGTAGTAGTAGTAGTAGTAGTAGTAGTAGTAGTAGTAGTAGTAGTAGTAGTAGTAGTAGTAGTAGTAGTAGTAGTAGTAGTAGTAGTAGTAGTAGTAGTAGTAGTAGTAGTAGTAGTAGTAGTAGTAGTAGTAGTAGTAGTAGTAGTAGTAGTAGTAGTAGTAGTAGTAGTAGTAGTAGTAGTAGTAGTAGTAGTAGTAGTAGTAGTAGTAGTAGTAGTAGTAGTAGTAGTAGTAGTAGTAGTAGTAGTAGTAGTAGTAGTAGTAGTAGTAGTAGTAGTAGTAGTAGTAGTAGTAGTAGTAGTAGTAGTAGTAGTAGTAGTAGTAGTAGTAGTAGTAGTAGTAGTAGTAGTAGTAGTAGTAGTAGTAGTAGTAGTAGTAGTAGTAGTAGTAGTAGTAGTAGTAGTAGTAGTAGTAGTAGTAGTAGTAGTAGTAGTAGTAGTAGTAGTAGTAGTAGTAGTAGTAGTAGTAGTAGTAGTAGTAGTAGTAGTAGTAGTAGTAGTAGTAGTAGTAGTAGTAGTAGTAGTAGTAGTAGTAGTAGTAGTAGTAGTAGTAGTAGTAGTAGTAGTAGTAGTAGTAGTAGTAGTAGTAGTAGTAGTAGTAGTAGTAGTAGTAGTAGTAGTAGTAGTAGTAGTAGTAGTAGTAGTAGTAGTAGTAGTAGTAGTAGTAGTAGTAGTAGTAGTAGTAGTAGTAGTAGTAGTAGTAGTAGTAGTAGTAGTAGTAGTAGTAGTAGTAGTAGTAGTAGTAGTAGTAGTAGTAGTAGTAGTAGTAGTAGTAGTAGTAGTAGTAGTAGTAGTAGTAGTAGTAGTAGTAGTAGTAGTAGTAGTAGTAGTAGTAGTAGTAGTAGTAGTAGTAGTAGTAGTAGTAGTAGTAGTAGTAGTAGTAGTAGTAGTAGTAGTAGTAGTAGTAGTAGTAGTAGTAGTAGTAGTAGTAGTAGTAGTAGTAGTAGTAGTAGTAGTAGTAGTAGTAGTAGTAGTAGTAGTAGTAGTAGTAGTAGTAGTAGTAGTAGTAGTAGTAGTAGTAGTAGTAGTAGTAGTAGTAGTAGTAGTAGTAGTAGTAGTAGTAGTAGTAGTAGTAGTAGTAGTAGTAGTAGTAGTAGTAGTAGTAGTAGTAGTAGTAGTAGTAGTAGTAGTAGTAGTAGTAGTAGTAGTAGTAGTAGTAGTAGTAGTAGTAGTAGTAGTAGTAGTAGTAGTAGTAGTAGTAGTAGTAGTAGTAGTAGTAGTAGTAGTAGTAGTAGTAGTAGTAGTAGTAGTAGTAGTAGTAGTAGTAGTAGTAGTAGTAGTAGTAGTAGTAGTAGTAGTAGTAGTAGTAGTAGTAGTAGTAGTAGTAGTAGTAGTAGTAGTAGTAGTAGTAGTAGTAGTAGTAGTAGTAGTAGTAGTAGTAGTAGTAGTAGTAGTAGTAGTAGTAGTAGTAGTAGTAGTAGTAGTAGTAGTAGTAGT